GATAACTCTCTTAATCACCAAGCTTTAGGCGAGCGCTCAATACACTCCTTTTTCTATATGTAATATTTAACTGCCATATTTTAATAGAGAATCTTTTTATATTTTTATTACAGGTTTGTCTGGGAATCTTGCTGACTTGGAGAAGAGAAGGCAGGAGTTTGGAAAAAACTTCATTCCTCCCAAAAAATCCAAAACCTTTTTACAGCTTGTTTGGGAGGCCCTGCAAGATGTCACCTTAATCATTCTTGAAATCGCAGCCATAATATCCCTTGGTTTGTCCTTCTACCATCCTCCTGGGGGACACAATGAAGGTACATGATTTGTCTTTTCTTTAGCTGGCCATACAAATCAGATTGGTCATATGTGCTGTTGCATGTTTTTATATGGGTCATAAACCAATCTGGATCATGTCTATGCATACCTTTTTTGTTTTGTTGAAACTCTTGCAAAACCAGAAAGGAAAGCTCCAACTAAAGAACTAAATGTCAGGGAGGGCTTTTAAGGCAATTATAGTACCTTAAGAGACAATTGTAAAATGTATAAAATTACCAAACTTTATTCGGGCCATTAAAATACATAAAGCATAGATATATATATATATATATATTGGCAGGGCTTGAAAAATTTTAGGGTGTCTCACCAGTCAGTCAAAAATGTCACCAGTCAGCATGACCGGACTATAGCCTTTTAGCCATTTATGTTAACATTTTTTGGGGACAGATAGAGCTTTCTTTTGGAGGTATATAATCACCACGGGGGGGTTATTTTTTTTACTATATAATGAAAAAAGTACCGTAAATGTAAAACAAAAAAAGTTTCCCCTAATTATGTTATAAAACATTTATTCTTACCTATATTTTTGGTAAAACATAAAACTCGAGGTCACGTCGGGTAAATAGACACCAAACATGTCAAGCCTTAAAATTGCGTGCGCCCGCAAAATCATTTTTTTATGATTGTTTAATTTTTTAATTTACATGACAGGTCTTCTTTATGGAGACATCCGGGGTCTCCAAGACCCCTAATGTCACCGAGGGACCCCCAGAGAAGCTGATGAAGCAGAGATCTGCTTCATCAGCTTCTGTAGCTGGAGAGTGACACTGAATGCAGGAAGTGATGTAATATACGTCACTTCCTGCATTCGGGGAATGAGAGGAGATCAAAGGGAGTTCGTGTATTGAACTCCCTTTGATCTCCTGTCAAAGAGCTGTGCTGGTCCCGGCTGCATTGGACACAGCGGATCTCGGAACCGGCAGTGACAGCTGCTAATACAAGCGATAGAGCGTCTTTAGAGACGCCCGATCAATTGAATGTAAAGCTCCCGGCCGTGTAAATTCAACGGCCGGCCGGGAATACAGTCAGATGTATATGGTTCTTGCTAATTTTGCACATATTGATGTATGTGGTTTTTGCTAACTTCACACAGATTGATTTATAGATATTGTAAGGCATAGCACAGTACATGGAAGAGAGCACTGCCCTATAGTCGGGGCTGTTGTCAGTGTGCTCTTGTACAAGTCCGTGTCACCTATGGAGGTGTTTTTCCTCCCCCCTGGGATGTCCCCTCCCCCCACATGCTTGCACTTCTCCCCACTGACAGCCTGAAACCGCCACACATCGTAGTTTCTGGCAGAGACACCTGCTGATATTGACAAATCTGGATATCGAGTGGAAGGAGAAAAGGCTTGAGTTACCCTATGACATCTGGAGAGGCGAATGAGAAAGGGAATTCATAGTTCTTATGATACAGGCACTTTTAAATGTAAATCTGGCGAGTGCGTTTTGAAAGAAATACAGTGGTGTTTTGGTGAAGGACTATTTCAACTGTCATCATCAATGTCCCTATCCAGTGATGGTGTTAAAGGAGAACTATGGGGTTAGGGCTTTTCCCCATAGTTCTCCTAAGGGTAACGGGAGGACACAAACTAGCGTCCGCCCGTCACTCAAAGCTCAGTATACCGCGAGCTAAAGCTCGCGGTATACTGAGACGCGCAGCCGGGACGGATCTAGACAGTTCTGTCTGGATCCACCCAGCTGCGTGAGTGACAGCTGGCTCTGCCTATATAGAGGCAGAGCCAGCTGTACCTGCCCCCTCCCCTGTCCAATCCTCCAGTCAGCGCTGGAGGATCGGACAGGGGGGGGGGGGGGGGAATCCCCGCAGGGAGCCGTGAGTTGTCCAATCCTCCAGTCAGCGCTGGAGGATCGGACAGGGGAGGGGGGGGGGAAATCCCTGCAGGGTGCCGTGAGTGACAGTCACGGCTCTCTGCACGGAAAGATCGAGAAGTGAGCCAGCGTCGGTATTTGTTTGCTCACTTCCCGATCTACTGAGCCGACCTGTGACAGTTTCTTTGTCACAGGTCGGCTCAGATTATGAGGCTGAGTGAAAATCACTCACCTCATAATTCTCCTTTTAATAATGAATTCTTATGTGCGAATCACTTCAAAAACCTCTTAGTCCAAGGTCAGTGACAGTCCATTGGGGGAAGAAATCTCCAGCATCTTAGAGTTCAGAGAGCCTTTCAGATCCAAGGAGCCTCTGTAACATGATGAGAGTGTACAAGCTGACGTCATCAAGTTACAAGCGAGTAAACAAGTCATTGTCCATCTGGAGTTAGAGATATAGAGCATCGTATACAGTGCGGTGGTGCACATTTTTATGTGAGCGGTTATACCTTGTTCTTTTGCATAAATGTTTTAAACCTTCCTACACTATGGTGATTTCTAATGTGTACCCCCTGGTATGTGTGGTGGTAATGGCGCAAAAACTTATTAACATCTGAACTGCTGGAGCCAAAGGAAGTATTTGGAGTACACAATAGGTGTTTGAGGAAAAGAGAACCCAGACCGCTGAGAAATAATACCAGTGTCACTAAGCTTTAATTGACCATTTATTACAGATGGCCCAACTTTTCTGGTGAGTGCGATGTGGGGAAGTTAATACGAAGCGGAAGTGGAGTGTGGCTCACTATACATTTCTTGAAATTTAAGCACATTGTTTTGAAACATCTTTTGGCACATTTATTGGAAGTTTGCACATCTTGTTTTATTATTTATTATTTTATGTTGCCATCGATTTATTTTTTTCATGCAGATATAATATGATTTTGAATATACACACTTTATAATATGGATGATTTCTAATGGGTATTGATTGTTTTAGTAGTATTTATATACATGGAGAGTTGCAATATTATATATTGAACCCTATACGTTTTAGGGATTTATGTATATTTTTCATGAATTTGAAAGAAAAATGTACTATTTTTAAGCGTAGTGCACTTTTTAATCTACTGCCTATCAGTGCCATCTGTGGCATTCCCCTTGACACCCAAGCCATGTACCAAAAGCATCCACTTCCCTTAAAGGGAAATGGACCAGAACAATTCTTGTCCTTCATAGCAAAAAGGATCACCAAGGTTGGTAGTCTGTTGCTGCAGTAAATATTCTGACTGTATTGCCAGTTGATGATATACATAGTGTCAGGACACTCATTAAGGGGTAATACAGTAGGAGGGGCAGTTATCTCAGCGGGTAACACCATAGACAAAAGACCTTCAGAGAATGATTGTGGGTACAAAAAGAGGAGACTGAGAGGGGACACGATGATATTAAAGTACAAATTGTTTAATGGTACTGGAATAATTAGTAATGAACTGTTTTACTGTTAGCTCAGTAAAGAATACAAGAGGCCGTCATCTGAAACTGGAAGAGAAAAGGTTTAATTTTAAACAGCGAAGGGCATGAGAGCTGTAAAATTGTGGAATTCCCTTCCACAGACAGTGGTATCAGCTGAGAGTATGGAATCATTCAAGAAATATCTAGATACTTTTCTCAGCACACAAAATATACAGGGGTACAGGTCATCTTAGTAATACACACACACACACAACCCTGAGGTTGAACTTGATGGACCTGTCTTTATTCAACCTTAACAACTATGTAACTATGTACAGATATAAATGCCAAACATCATACATAGAGGGCCGAGGTATTGCATGAACAAAAAAGTAATCTGTAAGGAGTAACTGATGTGATAAGCATATGGAGCCTTTTAAATCCTAGGTAATTTGGGTGAGCACCGATTTTGGATAGCAGCTAAGAAGCTGATATGGAAGCTAATGCATTTGTGACCATAGCGCAGATTTAAGATGCAGCAAAAAAATAGGGACAGTGGAGAAAGTACATAAGAACTTACAGTACGTTAGATGCAGCTAAGTGGTAGGTAACAGGGGAGGTGAGCCAAGAAAACAAGTTATATCACCTACCTCTTGACATGTTGGGATAAACAAGAGTCCCAAGTATTTATGAAAGGCCAGTTTTAGAATGAGAGGGCAGTGAACCAAGCAATATTGTTTCAGGCCTAATGGCCGCTCTCATTCAACCTGAATGGTTGTTTGACGCCGGCGTACCAGTGTATGTCTTCAAGATAATCTACTTGAGACCAGATCACTTGTACATTGGAGTGATGGTTCCATATACAGTAGTCTGTAATTCTGTAACAACTGAAGTCAAAGCCGTGAGATAAATTTTGGGGGTATCAAGGAGCTCATGAAAGCATTGTAAGCCTTCCCTTATGTTGGCCATATCTTGCTTGCGCATCTCTTCCAACTTACAGAACATAGCCTCGATATTCTTAGCTTCTTAGTAGGAAGGAGTGCAAGGTATTTCTTGATAAATTCCTGTAATTCAGCATTATCAGCTTCACTCTCTGAATCTAAATGCCACAATGACTGGGGGAGCTGGAAGATCCTCCATGCTGTTAGAGGGGTAGTGGTGGACAGGCTCAGTAAAAATTGAGCTACGTGCCTGCCTTTTAAGAGTTTTTGCCCAAGATGAGAGCTTGCATGAGGGTCTTTTGTGAGTGTTTCAGGACCTGGTGCAGAAGCTTCTCAGAGATGCTTATTCATGCAGCCATTAGCAAACCATACCTATCCCCCAGGTATAAGATTTTCATCATAATGAGGATGTTGCCTTGCCTTCCTTGTGTCCAGCTCCCATTCACACTAAGAAGATTTTTCTCCGTTGTTTAGATGTGTTTAGAGCTGTTAAAGTTTATTTAAAATGCCACAGCTTTTGTTAAGGAAGTCGCGTTCCTTGTGTATCATTTTAGGTTCACTTTACTACTGTTTAGGCACATAAGCTTGAAGGATAAGATGGACCTTTTTCCTGTCAAGGTTCACTCTACTAGGTCACTTACTTCTTGGGCTTTTTGTCATTAGGAATCTGTTTTAGGTCTGTAAGGTCACAACCTGGCCTTCAGTTTGCATGTTCACCAAATTCTACAAGGTGGATGTGTCCGCATCCGCAGATGCTGGTTTAGGTTGCAAGGTTTTGCAGATGGCTTTGTGAGCTTCGTGGATTTTTTTTCTCCTGTTGGACTTGATTTCACCTGTTTATTGTTGGGACATACCCGATCCCTGTATGTGCACTGCTTTTGGGACTTTCTGGGGGTTAGGAAATGCTGTACCCTTTAAAAGACAATAAGAAACATGAGATTTTTGTTCTCACAGTAAAATTCCTTTCCTAAAATCTACAACTCTCTCTCCTCTTGTGGTACCTTTTTGTCATTGTTATGTTTAAATATTGCTTGTTAAAACTGAGCAGGCTAGTCATAGGAGGGTGGTTATGGCAATTAGGGACTGACCTCCAGTTTTTTTACCCCTAGTGTCCTGTCCTCTTGTACCTGCAATATAACCTATGGTTCATATATAAGAAACGTTGTGTTCCTCCATGAACTCCAAGAAATACATTTTGGTGGGTTATGAATACAAAAATCCTATAATTTGTGTAAGTTGAAATGTAACATCATGCATGGAAAAAAACTATGAAATTAAAACATGAGCTTTCACTCTGAGCATTAATATTCCCTTACTTTAAATAAAATCAAACTTATGTGATATCCCATTAGTCAGAAGGCTCTGGGGTACATGTCTGAGACAGTTGGAAGCTTGTAAAAACTGCTTTTCAAAAAATTACAGTAAAGAACAATTTTACTTTTTTTTTTTTACATTTCTCCTTATTAAAAACGAGTAAATATGTACCCAAAGCTTCTACCAAATACAACCGGCTCCGTGCCCAAAACTTATTTAGAATAAGATCTGTAGATTATAAAAGCTTAATGTTATAAAGGTACAGAACTGAGACATCTTTGAATAGAACAAAACACCCTGGGACACAAGTGGCTAAAAGGAGAAAAAGGCTCTGGTCTCTGAGAAGGAATCATACTGTTCATTGACATAATACATTGGGAATTATATTCATACCATAAACAAGCCTTCCATATGCTGTTTTTTTGCAGGAACAGTAGATGCTATGCTTTCTACGTGCTTGTACATTCTTAAATATTAATTTTATATTTGATTGTGTGGTAACATAAATATCTACTTAACAGCATGTGGGGAAGCTTCAGCAGGCGTGGAGGATGAGGGCGAGTCACAAGCTGGTTGGATTGAGGGAGCTGCAATCTTATTCTCTGTCATCATTGTGGTTTTGGTAACGGCATTTAATGACTGGAGTAAGGAGAAGCAGTTCCGGGGCCTCCAGACTCGCATTGAGCAGGAGCAGAAGTTTACTGTTATCCGAAAAGGACAAGTTATCCAGATTCCTGTGGCAGAATTGGTCGTGGGAGACATAGCACAAATCAAATATGGTATGTGCTAAATAATCAGTAGATAAGTAAATTACACTGTACTAAAAGCTGCATTCTGACAGTTATTTGCAATGAATTACAAATGAGATAATACCATATTTAAGGAGTTATGTATCCCTTTAGGTGATCTCTTACCTGCAGATGGAATCTTAATTCAAGGCAATGATCTGAAAATTGATGAAAGTTCATTAACTGGAGAAAGTGACCAGGTCAAAAAATCTCTTGAGAAGGACCCCATGTTGCTGTCTGGTGAGGCTGTTCATTTTTTTAAAGGGCATAACATAATTTCTCCAGAAAACAGTGATTGCTAAATAGCTGCTTAATTTCCTGTAGGTACACACGTGATGGAAGGATCTGGGCGTATGGTGATCAGTGCAGTCGGTGTCAACTCACAAACAGGCATTATATTCACCCTTTTGGGGGCAGAAAGTGAGGATCAAGAAAAGGCGTCTAAAAAAGGTAATTAACTTTTGAAAATGTACCTTCTCATGTGATCATGGCAGTGTAAGCCATCATAGCCATGAGCAGTTAGAAAAATCATTTTCTCTTCTGTTCTTTTGAAGTACACAGCCGGCAACTTCATCTAAAGGATGGGTTATACCTCCACCTGCAGGAGTAGGACGGTAGGCAGAAAAAAACAAGCACAGCCTAAGGAGTGGCCCCTGCTGGTGGCCTAACCCCCCACCTACTAGAGGCAGTTCTCTTTTTTGCATAGCATCAAGGAGTATGGACCTAATTCCCTTTCTTTTTTTCCTCATTTGATCTGCAATCAACAGCTGAGTTGGGTGACAGGCTGGATGTTTTTGATCTTTGTAGTCTCCCCCACTCAACCATCGAGCGCATGCAGACACCTACCTCAGATGCGACAACCCCCGGGATCTGGGGCAGCCTGTGAGATATTTCACAGGGGACGCATATGACCGACTGGCCACTGGGCTGGTCTGTCACAGTGTTCCCCTCAGTGAGAGGAGATCTGTGATGGGCGGAGGTACGCCTGGTGGGTAAGTATGACCCCCTTTTCTTCCTGCTGGGGTGACTAAGGGGTGTAGTGTGTGTGCGCCTTTCTCCCCTCTTGTCTTGTTGGAGTGGATTCCCTTCTACAGCAAGGCTGCAGTTTGTCTTGTGCTCTAAAGGGAACTGGCTGCAGGTGGCTTCTTGTCCTCCCTTGCTCCTCCCTTCCTTACGCCACTATGCCACTGTGTGTTTGCTGGGGGGACTTGCTTTACTAATATTAGGCGGCTACAGCTGCTTGTGTTTTGCAGCTTCACTATTTTCTCACCACCGTGCTGTATGCTGACAGGGGCGGTCGTGCTGTATTGCCTGGACAGTGCGGCTGCTTTTTTTTCTACATCCGCACTGTCCTATTCTACATGGCAGCACTCTATCCCTTGATTGCTTTGTGTGTTTCTGTCATCACAGCTACTCTATGTTGACAGACATGCTCTGTGCTTTCGGGGGCCGTGGCACGATGCTGTGCTGGAAAGTGGATCTTCCTCCTCGGCCTCCCATTGGCTACTGGTCAGCGGTACTTTCTGAGCTCGCTGCTCCACAAGGTGAGGGTCAGATACCGCTGCTCTCCTGGGTGCTCTGGGGCTGGTAAGCCTGCTGGGGGTCTCCTATTGTTAGTCCCCTAACGTCACTATGTTGCCCATAAGAAGGGACCCTGCGTGGCACCATAACGTTGGCTGTTTGAAGCATGTGACGATTTAATAAAAAGTGCTTTACTTCTTGCACATATCTTCAAGTGCTGGTGACTTCTATTATGGACTATCGTTAGTTGGCGGCGCACTGCTTACACTGTCAGTTTCTGGCATGGACATATCCAATACCAGGGGGTCGGGTTTGTCCCAATATGGTGGCTATGTCGGGTCGGCTTCTGGCTGCACTTCCTGTGGCTGATCTTCTACATTTGGGTCTGTGTGTATGTATGTAACCCTTTGGCAGCTTTGCAACCCCCCCCCCCCATCCATCTCAGGTCCCTGGGATACCAGGACTGTCTATCCCTACGGACACCCCTGCCTCAGTTTTAGGTTTTGCCTCCCATGTTGAACAAGCCCCACTGAATGGGCAAAGCTGTTGCACCTGGAAGGTGAACAGGTGTCTCCTGTTTATGTGCAACTGGATGATCAGCTAGTCCACGGTCTCAAATATGTCTGTAACATGTCACTGGATACCAGACCCTTGCTTTCTTAATTGACTGTGACTGCGGTTGTCCTTGCCATCTTTTGTGGCATTTTGCTGGCCTACTGACCAGACTTCTGAAAAAGAAGTGATGGAGCTACCCTTTATGT